CCCCCCCCCCCCCCCCCCCCCCGGCCCTGGGTTACCAGTGCACCCATGGTCCAGTGATACAGCCAGGGGCCATGTGGTGCTGGAGCAGCCGCATGTAGGGAAAGCTGTGGAAGGCAGACACTTCCAGGTGGGGTGGGGGCTGGGAGTAGAGCGGGGCCGAGCTGGTCTTTCTCCTTACTCTTACCAGCTTCCCCTGGGTCACACTGCCCCTGGCTCCTGTCATCTTTGACAGGGAGCCCAGAGCAAATAAATATTAATTTTCTAAACTTTGTAGGTGCCCTGCGGGCTGGATAGAATGGCCTGGTGCACTAGATCCGGCCTGTGGGCCATATTATGTCTGCCTCTATGATAAAGGTTGTATGGTAGATGGTAAGTAGGTGAATAACCTGAAAATATTTAGTGAGGGGAGAATGAATTGGGTCACAAAATCTATTCCATAAAAATGATTATGAAGAACAGGAAACGTGTATATATGTTTCCCGTTCTTCATAATCATTTTTATGGAATAGATTTTGTGCCCCAATTCATTCTCCCCTCACTAAATATTTTCAGGTTATTCACCTACTTACCATCTACCATACAACCTTTATCATAGAGGCAGACATAATATGGCCCACAGGCCGGATCTAGTGCACCAGGCCATTCTATCCAGCCCGCAGGGCACCTACAAAGTTTAGAAAATTAATATATATATATGCCCCCCAACCCTCCCTGCCACCATTGTGTTATATATAGATTTTTAATATTTTACATAGGATATTTGCATATTAAAATATCCTATTGAGAGAGAGATCTATATATATCACAACAGTGGTAGGTTGGGGGGGCACGCCAAGCCCGGCCTGAAAATGGCAGTTGGGGGGAAGGGGGCAGCCTAGCTCCGAAATAGCCAGGGGAATGGGGGGGGCAGGCCCAGCCCTGCAGTGGAATGGGGGGAAAAGAAGAGCAGGCCCTGCCCCGAAGGGGGGGGGGGGGCAGCTTGACCCAGGCCTCTGTCCCCACCCGTGCCCCCACTCATCATCCTTGATGGGGCAATTGGCTAGTATATGTATATATTACTACCTTGAAGAAAAAAGATGTAACTTTAGGAAATGCCATTTATTGGCAGAAAGATAATCAAATTCCCCCCCTGAACTGGCAGCCTCAGAGTTGTGGAGGGGAGGCTTAGTCTTGGCTCAGATTGAAAAGTACTTTCTAGTTCTTTTAGGATTTAAATTTTGTGTTTTGTTTTGTGTCACTTTTTTTTTTTTTATTAGACCAAGTATATCATTGGGAGAGAAGTCTGACAAGCTTTTGGGTACACACTGCCCTTCATCTGGTCTAGGGGAGAGGCAGACAGCTTGGTCTAAATAGCAGATAGAGAAAAAGCACATGGATTACATATGAAACCTTTTGCTTAAAGGAATGGAAATATTCCCAACACCCCCATTACCTCTTCCTAGCCTTCAAACAAACATCAAGTCTGGCCCAACTCATCATCAAAAGCAAACTCACTTCTGATCCATAAACACCAAATGACACAGCCCTGCCTTATCAATAGAGGCAAAATCTGTAAACACATCTTTACAATCAACACCTCCCCACAATTAAACCATCATAATCTACAGATCCTATGTGCACCTGTTGCAGAATGTGGTGCATCTCATCTAGTGCGCCTGATGCCCTCATAGAAACTTTGTGGTTGAAACTAGACAAAGGCTATGCACCTGGAATGAACTCTTGCAAAAGAGATGCACAAACACTTGTAAGAGAACATATTTTGTTTAGCCCAACACATTCCCTTTCTGCCGTCACAGTCCTCAGACTCAAGGGAAGTCTATGAAATATTTTCAGAAGACAGGCCTGAGAACAGAAATTCATAACCTTACTGGACAGTAAAAGTATGGACTAGACATAGTTGATGGTGTTATGACTCGTTACTTACCTCTCTACATTCCACTGGTAATAATGATTTTTTTCTTTTTGAAGGTCTTGCTCTTCCACTAGTTAGATTAGCAGAATTCTTGGACCATCATGGCTGCAAAATCATCTTGACACTACCATACTGCTTAGATTACCTGTTCTACTGCAGTTCTTTCTGTCTGTAGCCATTCATGAAAGTGTCTTGTTGCTCCTTATTCTTCAGTTCTCCATTCCTTAAGCAGGCTCTTTTCATTTACATGGAGGTCTGCAACCTTTTTGTAGTGAAGATCACTTTTTGGCACCCCAGGATCTACTGCCCCTGCCCCCGGATGGGCCACCCAGGCTCTGACCCTACTCACCCAGCCCAACCCAGGCAGCAGAGGGCGTAGCTCAGTCCACCCACGTGCATCCTGCCACTCCCAATCATGGAGCCTCTTTTACAGACTGAGATCAACTGTCAGCGGCTCCACAATCGACCGTTTGGTCGCCACTGACATAAAGTAAATGGTTTTTTTCTATTTGCTGTTTAGCTCAAGCTGTTTGCCTCTTCCCCCTTGCCTGAGGAAGAACAGTTGTGGGCCCAAAAGCTTGTCAAAATTGTCTCCTAACTGTATAGTTGGTCCAAAAATCTTTGCCTCATGTAGGTTAGATTGTAAAATGCATTTTGTTGCAGGTGCCCAGTAGAGTTAACAGTCCAGTAGATATAGTTTCCTGATAGACTAGAATTGGAAATAGGTCAGAAGCTATCTCCTCAGGAAGCCAAAGCATGGAACTAGGGTTTCCCATGCCTGGTACAGTGAGGAGATGGCTCCTCCCCTTGTAAGAGAAGGGGGTCCCACCAAAGGTACTCAGCCAAGCTAGTGGGATTGGGAACTGAAGCCATCCTGCTACATGAGGGTACACATTAGAAAGAAAAGGTGGCCTGCACTGGACAAGCTATTTTGTCTGGTATCCAGATATGAGGTAATATAAAGTAATGCCTAGTTAAATTGCATGCTGTCTTCCTGCATTCTGGGACAAAGAATGAACTGATGGACAGGAAGTATAAAAGGAATTCTGAAAGTTTTCAAAGATATCTAGATAAACAGGACTTAAAAAATTACAAAGATTTGAAGGGACCAGATTTCACGGCCTACTCCTATATCTCCACAAAATTACTTGACAACATCTTACTTTTCTTTTAAGGTTCAAAGATCATCCTACGCTAAATGAACGGTATTTGTTACTGCACTTACTTGGGCGAGGTGGCTTCAGTGAAGTATACAAGGTAATGTGGATTTGGGCCTGCAGTGTAACATTTAATAGCCACGTAAGTTTTTTGTACTTAATGTGGTTAGCTTTAGTCGTAAATGAGCCAAGAGGATTTTAATATGGTAGTATTCTTAAACATTACCTAGGAAAACTCCTTAATTAATATGTGAGGAGAAAGCATCACTGGGCTTCAAACTAATATAACCAATATGAAGCATTTTGTTGTTAAATAGTGAAGGAGTTGGGTTTGTGACTGGAGACTTGATAAATGCACTAAAAATGCAACGGTTTGCATAATTAGGAATTTGCAGTACAAAATATGAACTGCAGCCAGTAGAAGGTGATACATGGCAGTGAAGTACAGTTTTTATTAAACACAAATATAGATGTTACCTTTTGTCATAGTTTCACTGTATATTAATCATATTTTTCTTAATGTAAAATTGGTAGGAGCTTGCAGGAAGTACCGAGGAAAGTAAAAATTGTCAATGATAATGATAACTTAATAGAACACCATCTTTCTAAACTGTATGTGGTGTTATACTGCTACTTGAAAAATATATTATTTGTATACTTCAAATTAATCTACTCTTCATGATTGAAAATTTCTTTAACAATATATAATGTTGTAGTGACACATCTCTATAGTTTCATTTTGCTTACAGTTCTTCTGTAGATCTGTGGATTATATGCTAAATTTGTACCTTTTTATTTGTTGTGCTTTAATTATCTTTGGTTGTAACTGTCCATTCTCTCTCTTGCTCTTTTAAGGCTTTTGATCTTTATGAACAAAGATATGCTGCTGTGAAGATTCACCAACTTAACAAAAGCTGGAGAGACGAGAAGAAAGAAAACTACCACAAGTAAATATTAATGATTTATGGTTCTTATGGTAAATTGAACAGTAGTCTATTGATTGTGAAAAGTTAATATATTGTCTTTTTAGGCATGCCTGCCGAGAGTATAGAATACACAAAGAACTGGATCATCCCAGAATAGTTAAACTATATGACTACTTCTCTTTGGATACAGATACGTAAGTATTTAAAATTGCACTGATTTCAGAACTTGTCAAATATTTATTTTTTGAAATGGTGACTGTATTGACTCTCAGATATCCTCCAAATTCCTATTCTGGATTATTTTTACTTCAGATAAGGGGGCTGGAACTTTTCTTAAGTGTCCTAAACTGCCAATTCTGGCTGGGAGAAAATTCCCCTAGATGCAGGCTTTGTCTAAGACAACCAGAAGGCTGTCTTTCGAGGACTGGCTTACCCTGACAAAGGACATTATAGGGCTGGGGTCAGTAACCATTTTGCCTGTAGTGCAAGCCTGTGTCACCCCTTTCCCCCTTCATCCCCACCTCCAGCAACTATGCTTACCCTTTCCACTGATTCCCAGACCCCCTGCAGTGAGGGTAAGCACAGACATGGCAGAGATGCAGGCTCCTCAGTGGAGGGGAGTACTCTAAAGGAGATGATGCACAGAGCAGCTTCATGCTGCTGATTTCTACCATGCCACATTGGACCTTTGAGGGCTGGATCAGACCTCTTCCTGGTCTGGATTCAGCCCATGGGCTTTTGGATGCTGAACCCTGTGCTACAACATCAACCTGTGGTAGCTAGTGGTATGCTGATTCAAGGCAGAGCTATAATCCTAGAGTACCCCAGGAAGGCTGCTGTAATGCTGGTAGGCCACTAGGGTTAAGTTATTCCAGGGGCCCTTCCAGCACATAGCGCATCCCAAGACTGGGAGATTCCATCAATACCATCATGCAACTCTTCCTCTGGGCTGCAGTTACTAACAGCACAATGCAGGATTTCACGTTAAGCAATTAAGCATGTACTTTTATCAAGAAACTTATCTAAGTATACAAGAAGGAAAGAGTTACTTGGCCTTTTTAGTATTTTGGGATTTTTTTTCTTTTAAACAAAAATGCTTTGACTACTAACATGAGTTTTTATAAACTAATTGGTATGCTAGATCCTTTTATGCATAATTAGGTTTGCAGATATTCATGTATGTGAATTTGTTAAACTTGTCAGCATCAGACTTCACTTATTTTTTCGTTATGCAATTATTTGATTGCAAATGATTGTGCAATTAGATAGCAGTTTGTAATCTGTTTTATCTAACTCTGTATCTCTGAATTTTTACTCTAGGTTTTGTACAGTGTTAGAATACTGTGAAGGCAATGACTTGGATTTCTATCTCAAGCAACATAAATTAATGTCAGAGAAGGAAGCTCGGTCCATTGTAATGCAAATAGTAAATGCACTACGGTATCTCAATGAGATCAAGCCCCCTATTATACACTATGATCTTAAACCAGGTAACTGAGAAATGCTACAGCTGGAATTACAAACAACCTTGTTCTCATATTTTATTTGTAATTCATGTTGAAAAATCTCATTAACTTCTACCTGTCCTTTCATTTAGAATTCCTCCAAAATCTGGCATTTTCTCTGCATTCGAGTGCTAAATCCTTTAGTCTTTTCTTTGGTTATCTCTTGCCTCACTCATAAGATCACAGGCTGATGCAAAAGGACTAAATTTAGTCCTTTATCCTACGGGATAAGTTCCCAGAACTTGTGATGGAATCATATTTTTAGAAATGTAAGGATATACGTAATTGGTATTAGTCAGTTCTGAAAAATATTTTCTTTCTCTGCTTATATCTTTCTTACCTACTTGCAGTTTTCATTGGCAATCCATCTCCTTTACATTGAGTTCTAGCTCCTAGGCCACTGGCACATGTTACACGTATGGTGCGATTAACCTGTTAGAAAACAGAAAGAAGTGCTACATGTTCAGCCAAATTATGGCACCATAAGTAGCAAACTAGCCACAGATTTAATCCATACAAAATGTGGAACTTTATGGCTGTTTTTTTATGGTGCCATAAATTGAACAAGATTAGCATGGACATGGGGGACAACACTGGGACAAGGATTGCCCACCTTTCAATGCCAAAAATTGGTTGTCTGGGAGATGCACCAGTTGTTAGGCTCCCTAGTGGGAACACTTATAGATAACGCCTGCACACAACACTTGCATCTAGCAGCCTTTCCTGCCTTGCCTAGCAGTCCCTATGGGCAACTCCCCTGAGTAAAGCATTTTAAAATATAGATTTCCAGGGAGCTGGGAGATGCCCCAGTGATTTGTAGGCCAGGGCACAGAGACACTGGGATGAGGGAGAGGCTCTGTGATTTCTAAAACAGGCAGCTGGGCAGTCCTGGGGATCTCCATGGCCAGTCCTGGCAATCAACTGATTATTGAACCTAGCCCCAGCCAGACCCAGTCTGGAACTTTTCAGTGACTGTATGGACAGTCCTGGGGTTGGGACAAATCTGTCCCCTGTCCTATCCTTAGGATTGAGTTGGGGCAGCCCCACGATACCATATTTTGGATCAGAGGAATTTTATGCCTATCCCATATACTGTACCTCCTGCCAGATACCTGTGGCATGGCAGAGGGTGTGATGTTGATGGAGCATAAAATTCCCCTGATATCTCTCTCTCTCTTCCCCCCACCATTCACTTAGCATGTGCCAGGGGCCCTAGACATCATGCACGAGTCTCTGTGTAATTTTACTATTACCTACAACTATCCTTCCTCTTACTGCAACCTCTTCTATGCTATTTTCTGATGCCTTCTTACATTTGTGATAATAACCAGGTTCCTTCAACTCTCCTTAAATCATGGTCTATTCATGTAGTCTTCCAACAATGATTAATCACAGAGTAAACAGAAATGAGAAAATGTTAACCAGACAATCTAAAGATCTGTACCATTTTCTGTTTGGGTCTGCATTTGACAAACAAGTGTATCTGATTTTTCTACTCCTTTTATGCATCTTGCATTGATTAAACTCCTTAAGACACTTAGTAAAACTTTGTTAATATGGATTTGTTTCAGGTCTGGTGGAACAATCTAATACACGTGCAGTTCAAGATTATCATACAACAATTCTGAACATAATTGTTAACGCAATATAAGATTCTTTTTCCCAAAAAATTAAAGAACATAAAACAGCTTGCACAATAAAAGTATAATAGTGAAAGAACAAACATAAGTGATAAATACACTGTACAGTTTAAAACCCTGGGGTAAAATCCTTGGTTTTACCAATTTTTTCACAGTCCTGGTGGCATATAGGGGCCTTAAAGCCAGCATACCATAGATGGAAAAGATCATCATGACCCGAGTGTGGCTGTGCTCTAGTGTTTCCAAGATAAACAGTTGGTCCTGATTGGGGGAACCTAGGTGCATTCCAGGTGGAAACAATCTCAGAGACTGCTCTAAATTTTGCTAAGGGTCAGAATGACTCCAGATTTGAGGGTGGAAGGGGCAAAGTGGAGGGTTGTAAAGTTGCCTTCACCCACTTATTATACCGGACTACTGAAATTGTATTTGTTTAGTTTTCTTCTAATGCTAGATTTCCATATTTATAATGTTTCTTTCTTATTAGGTAATATTCTTCTGGTTGATGGAACAGCATGTGGAGAAATAAAAATCACTGATTTTGGGCTGTCTAAAATAATGGATGATGATAGTTATGGTGTGGATGGAATGGACTTGACTTCACAAGGGGCAGGAACTTACTGGTAATTTTAAGTTTGGAGAAAGTTGTTGAAACTGTTTATCCTCATCAGATGCCAGGGATGCTCATATAAAAATAGGTCTACTGAGATATCTAGGGCTAAAAACATTTGAAAATAAAATGGATGCAAGGGAAAACATTTTAATGCAGCATTTACCATGTGAATCTCGGTATTGCAAAATGTCGCAGAATGATGATAGGAATTAAATTTAATGAGAGACAATACTGAACTTGGTGGATCTTTGATTCCTTTTAGTACTGCAATTCCTATATTTCTGTTTTCATCCCTACCATACAAGTTGGTTCATACTTCTCTGTCTCCAAGGAAGCCATCAGCCCACATATGCCTCATTCACTTGATTCCAAGACAAGGTGTGTGCCCCCCCCCCTTTTTTTTTGGATCCTGCTTAAGTTCTTGCTGCAGTAAC